GAAGTAAAAAATCGAAAAATCGAAAATTCGAAACATTGTATCGAAATACTGAAGAATTCAAAACTGAAATTTTGAAAAATCGATATGTCGGTAAATCGAAAAATTAACAAATCGAAGGAAAATTGAAGAATCCTTAAATTGAAACTTCCAAAAATTGGAAAATTGAAAAACTGAGAAATCGAAAAATCTAAAAATCGGGAACAGGAAAGATTAAAAAACCGAAAATTGAAAAAATCTAAAAATTGAGGGGACAAAACCCTAAAAAACGGAAAAATTGATAAACCAAAAAAGTAAAAAATCAAGAAATCGAAGAGTCCAAAATTCGAAAAATTGAATCGAAATATTGAAAAATTTGGTAAATCGGAAAATCGAAAAATTGAATACATAATCGAAGGGAAATTGAAGAATCCCCGAACGGAAACTTGGAAAAATTGAGAAATTGAAAAATCGAAAAAATCATAAAAATCAAAATTCTGAATCGAAATATTAAAGAATTCCAAAAATCAAGTAGGTATTGAAAAACTGATAAATCGGAAAACCGCAAAAATTGAAAAATCCCAAAACTCAAAATTCGAACTGAGAAATCGAAAAGTCGAAAAATCGAGACATCCAGAAATTTTAAAATTGAAAAATCGAAAAAATAAAACATCAAGAAATCAAAATTGAAAAGTCTAAAATTCTAAATTTTGAAAAACCAAAATTTTGAAGAATCGAAAAATTGAATTCGAGAAATCGAAACACCAAAAAATTGAAAAATTGAGAAATTTGAAAAGTAAAACCTCAGGAAAATAAAAAACAGAAAAATCGAAATATCAAAGAATTGAATCGAAATATTGAAAAATTCCAAAATGAAATATTGAAAAATTGATAAATCGGAAAATCGAAAACTTGAAAATTTTAAGGAAAATTGGAGAACTCCAAAATTGCAAATTCGAACAACTGAGAATCGAAAAATTGAGAAATCAAAAGTCGCAAAATCGAGAAATGGAAAATCAAAAATTGAAAAAAATCGAAAAGTTGAGAGACAAAAATCGAGAAATCAAAAAATTGAAAAGCCGAAATGTTGGATCTTTTGACGAATCGAAACACTGAAAACTCGTGAAATCGAAACACCAAAAAACTGAAAAATTGAAAAATCGAACAAGTAAAAAATCAAAATTCGAAACTTTGAATCGAAATATTGAAAAATTCAACACTGAAATTTTGAGAAATTGTTAAGTCGGTAAATCGAAAATTTGAAAAACCGAAGGACAATTGAAAAATTCCTTAACTGAAACTTCCAAGAATTGGAAAATGGAAAAATTGAGAAAGCGGAAAATCTAAAAATCGGGAAGTGGAAAGATTGAAAATTCGAAAATTGAAAAAATAGACAAGTTGAGAAGACAAAAATTCAAAACTGAAATTTGAAAAATTGGGAATTCGAAAATTTTAAAAATCGGGAAATTGAATTGAAAACTGACAAACTGAGAAATCAAAAAACCGAGAAATTGAAAAATCGAGACGCAAAAAATTGAAAAATTGAAAGTTAAAATTAAAAATGAAATTTGAAAAATCGTAAAACTGAAATGCCGGAAAATTGAAAAACCGAAAAAAATACGAAATCGAGAAATTGAAAATTTGAAAATTCAAGAAATCGAAACCAAAAATTGAAGAATCAAAAAACCGAAACATCGAAAAATTGAAGAAATAAAAAAATGAAAATTTCGAAAACTGAAATTTCAAAAAAGTGAGAAATCGAAATTGAAAAATTTCTAATCTATAAACCACAAATGGAGAAATACGATATTTTATAAAATTTAAACAACGTTGACTATTGTAAAATTTGGAGATGACTTCACTCCATTGTTGGTGGACCTATTTTTTTGAAAAATTAAAAATTGGGAATTCGAAAATTTTAAAAATCGGGAAATTGAATTGAAAACTGAAAATTCGAAAAGTCAAAAAATCGAGAAATCAAAAAACCGCGCAATGGAGAAATCGAAACATCGAAAAAGTGAAAAATTGAAACATCGAGACGAAATATGAAAAGATCGAGAAATCGAAAAACTGAAAAATTGAGAAATCAAAATGGCCCAAATTTGATAAATCTAAACATCGAAAAATGGAAAAATCAGGAAATTAAACATTTGAAAAATTGAAACACCTAAATTTTGATAAATCGAGAAATCGAAAAATTGAAAAATCGAGAAATTGAAAAATTGAAAAATCGAAATAATGTAAGATTTAAAAATCGAAACAGTAAAAAATCGAGAAATCAAAAAATCGAAAAGCCGAAAAATCGGATCTTTTGAAAAATCGCAGCATTGAAAACTCGAGAAATCCAAACACCAAAAAACTGAAAAATTGAAAATCGAAGAAGTATAAAATCAAGAAATCGAAACATCGAAGGAAAATTAAAGAATCCCTAAACTGAAACTTCCAAAAATCGAAAAATTGAAAAATAGAGAAGTCGAAAAAATGAGAAGAGGAAATGGAAAATTGAACAATCGAAAATTTGAAGGATTGAAAAAATGAAAAATCGTTTAACTGAAATGTAGGAAAATTGAGAAATCAAAAAGTCGAAAAGTGGAGAAATGGAAAAATTGAAAAAATCGAAACACTGAGACGACGAAAACCTGAAAAATTGAAAAATCGAAAATACAAAAGTAAAAAATCGTAAAATAAAAAAATTGAGAAACTAAAAAATTAAAATATCTAGAAATCGAAAATTTAAAAAATCGGGAAATTGAATTGAAACACTGAAAATTCGATAAATGGAGAAGTGGAAAATCGATCATTCGAGAAATCGAGGAATCAAAAAATTGAAAATTTAGAAATGCCAAAATTTAAAAATTCAAAAATCGAGAAATCGAAAAACTATAAAATCAAGAAATCGAAAAATCTAAAAATCAAAAAATTGAATCGAAATATTAAAGAATTCCAAAACTCAGGTATTGAAAAACTGATAAATAGGAAAACCGAAAAATTGAAAAATCCCAAACCTGAAACTTCGAAAATTTGAGAAATTGAAAAATTGAGAAATCGAAAAGTCGAAACAGTGAAAATTGGCAAAATTGGGAAATTGAGCAATTAAAAAATCGAAACATTGAAATTTCGAAAAAACGAGACATCCGAAAGTTTGAAAATTGAAAATTCGAGAAATCGAAACACCAAAAAATTGAAAAATTGAGAAATTGAGAAAATCCAAAACTTGAAAATTCGAAAGAAAATTGAAGAATCCCAAAACTGAAAATTCGAAGAACTGGGAATCCAAAAATTGAAGAATTGGGAAATCCAAAAGTCGAAAATTCGAGAAACGGAAAGATCGAAAAATCGAAAATTTGAAAAACCGAGAAATGGAGAAATCGAAACATCCAGAAATGAAACATGAAAAGATCGAGAAATCGAAAAATCTAAAGAAATCGAAAATCTGAAAAATAGAGAAATCAAAATAGCCCAAATCTGATAAATCGAAACATCAAAAAATGGAAAAATCGGGAAATTGAATTGAAAACTGAAAATTGGAAAATCAAGGAATCAAAAAACCGAGAAATGGAGAAATTTAAACATTGAAAATGTGAAAAATTTAAATATCCAGAAATGAAACATGAAAAGATTGAGAAATCGAAAAACTGAAAAATCGAGAAATCAAAAAATCGAAAAGCCAAAAAATCGGATCTTTTGAAAAATCGAAACAGTGAAAACTCGAGAAATCGAAACACCAAAAAACAGAAAAATTGAAAAATTGAAAAACCGAAAAAGTAAAAAAACAAGAAATTGAAAAGTCGAAAATTCTAAAAAAAATCAAAATATCGAAAAATTCCAAAACTCAGATATTGAAAAACTGCTAAATCGGAAAACCGAAACATTGAAAAATCGAAGGAAAATTGAAGAATCCCAAAACTGAAACTTTTCAATCGAAATATTAAAAAATTCAAAACTGAAATTTTGAAAAATTGATAAGTTGGTAAATCGAAAATTTGAAAAATCGAAGAATTGCTAATCCGAAACTTCCAAAAATTGGGAAATCGAAAAATCTAAAAATCGGGAAGTGGAAAGATTGAAAAATCGAAAATTGAAAAAATCGAAAAACTGAGTACAAAAACCCTGCAAAATCTAAAAATTGCAAAGTTGAAAAATCTAAAAATTGAAAAAATGAAAAATCGTAAAACTGAAAAATTAAAAAATCTAGAAATCGAAAATCTGAAAAACCCGAAATTGAATGGAAAAATCGAAAGGTCGATGAATCGTAAAAATCGAACACAATAAATTGGAAAATTGAAAAAAAAATTAACAATTGAAAAATCGTAAAATTGAAATGTCGGAAAATTGACAAACCACAATAGAAAAATTTCGGATTCATAAAACTCGGCAGACATCTTGTTACAACACGTAAACTTAGTTCTAGAGTGCATAAAGTCGATCACAAGTTCACAGTCTGGTGGAAGTCGTCCCAGACGCAGAAACCGACAAGGTGTTCGTTATCCAACTTTGTAGCGACGTAATATTATTATCGCTAATTGGTTCAATTCGCGACAATTTCGATAATTGCCTAGTCGTCGCCGCTGTTCTAGCCAAACTAAAATTAAAACCGTTCGTCTTGCCGTTAAAACAATTAACTTCGTTAACACACACCCTTCATTATTTAAACTTCGTAGCGTGGTAAAAAATTCAAGCTCTGTGTACTCGTATAATGAAACATTATAGCCATTACCTTCGTTAACACTCGCGCCGTACACGGATGTGCTCTCAACTTAGAAACCCAAAGTACTCGTACGTAACCCCATTTGTTATCCCGCTCCCCAAATTTGATATATTGTAATTAAGATGTTGACACGCCACTTAAACTCCCCGATCCGATCGTTAATAAATAACATCCTCATTAGACTTCAAATCTCGATAGAAATGAATAATTTATGAGAAAGCGAAACTTAGCCGGCCTGATTTGGTTTGATTGAATTATTCACGGAACTTCCAAACTTTGCGCCAAGAATGGAAATGGTGTAGAAACGTATTTTTACCAGAGCGTCTAGGTGGTCCTTCGGCGACACGAAGATCCTCCCGTTTATCGAGAGCGCCGTAGGTATGCTAATGTCGTTGTCTTTGAAGATGACCCGCTCCCCGTTGGACTTCACCTCGACGAGCAGAAGCTCGTCGTTGGAGCGCATCTTGAGCTTCTCGGCTGCCACTAGCTTGATGGCTTCGGCGGGCGTGTCCACGGGAAGTCTTAAGGTGCAGTACGTGTGGTCGGCACAGTAAACCCTGAAAATGACTGGACGCGAAATTTGGAAATTTTGAAATTTGGTGTTGGGGGGCTTACTGTCGTCCTGAGGCATTATTATTGTTCGGTTGGTGTCGTTTCCGGTGAAGAGACTGATGGGTTGGCCGCACGGAGGGAGTTTCCATTTTTGGCCTTCGTGGGCTTTGCGGTCCTCTTGGTATCTGGGGGGAAAAATTGGTTGAAGGAAAAATTATGAAAATTTTTTGCTGTTTTTGATTTCTAATAATAAATCTATTATATAAAGTAGAAACTTGGGTGATGAATATAATTTTCGAAAAACTGAAAAATGTCCAGAAATCGAACAATCGAAAAATTTTAAATATTGAAAAATTGAAAAATTTAAAAATCGAAAAATCGAAATGCGGAAAGTCGCAAAATTGAAGAATTCCCAAAATTGAAACGTTAAAAAATTGAGAAATAACTTGAAAACTAGAAACTTTGAAAACATAAAAAAACGAAAAACCAAAAAGCTTAAAATTCTCAACCGAGAGGTTGAGAAATTGAAAATTCGAAGAATCGAGGAATCCAAACGTGGACAAATTGAATAATTAAAAGATCGAGGAATTGGGACATGAGAGGATTGAAAAATCGAAACGTTCAGAAATAGAAAAATTGAAAAATAGAGTAATCGAAATAAGTCAAATTCCATAAATCGCCACATCGAAAAATTGTGAAATCGGGAAATTGAACAATTGAAAAATCGGAACATCGAAATTTAGATAAAAAGAGAAATCGAAAAATTGAAAAATCAAAAATGTGAAAAATTGAAAATCAGAAGAGTTAAAAATTAAACATATTGAAAAAGTATAAATTTGCGAAATCAAAAAATCTAATATTTAAGAATCGAAATACTGAAAAATTCCAAAATTGCAAAATCGAAAAATCTAAGATTTAAAAAGTAGAAAAAGTAAAATATCGAAAAGTCTAAATTTTGGAAAATCGAAAAATTGAAAAATCGAGAAATCTAAACATCAAAAAATTGAAAAATTTAAAAGTCGGAAAGTCAAAAAAGTGATTCGAAATTTCGAAAAATTCCAACACTGAAACTTCGAATAAATTGAGAACTCGAAAAGTAGAAAAATCGGGGAGTGCAAAAATCGCGGAGTGGGAAAATAAAAATTGAAGAAAATTGAAAAATTGACAATATGAAAATCTGAAAAATATAGAAATTTCAATAAACTGAGATATCGTAAAAGTGAAAAGTTGAAAAATCAAAAAAGATTAAAATTTGAAAAAATGAAAAAGTACAAAATTGAGAAATCAAAAAATCGAAATTTTTAAGAATCCAAATACATATTGAAAAATTCCAAAATTGAAAAAATATAAAACTGAAAATTCAAAAAAGCGAGAAGTGGAAAAAGCGAAAATCGAAAATTGAAACGTGGAAAAACTGAAACATCAAGAAATTGAAACATGAAAATGTGGAGAAATTTAAAAAGTAGATAACTCGAAAAACTGAAAAATAAAGAAATAAAACTAAAAAATAAAGAAATCGAAAGAGCCCAAATTCGACGAATTGCAACACCGAAAAATTGAAAAATCAAAAAATCTAAGAATTAAAAAAGTGAAAAATCGAAAAATCGAAAAATCGAAATTTTGTAAAATAGAAAAATTGAAAAAAATCGAGAAATCGAAACACCAAAAAACTGAAAAATTTAAAAATCGGAAAGTCAAAAAAGTGAGTCAAAATTTCGAAAAATTCCAAACTGAATTGCGAAGTCCGTAAATCGGAAAATCGAAAAATTGAAAAATCGAAAGAAAATTGAGAAATTCCTAAACTTAACCTTCCAATAAATTGAGAACTCAAAAAGTCGAAAAATCGGAAAGTGGAAAAATCGAAAATTGAAGAAAATTAAAAAATTGGGAATTCAAAAATCTGAAAAATATCGAAATTTCAATAAATTGAGAAATCGTAAAATTGAAAACTTGAAAAATCAAAAAAATTTAAAATTAAAAGAATGAAAATTACAAAATTGAGAAATCAAAAAATGGAAATTTTTAAGAATAAAAATAATTGAAAAATTCCAAAATTGGAAAAATTGAGAAATCCAAAAATAGAAAATTGAGAAACTGAAAAGTCGAAAAAGCGAAAATCGAAAATTGAAACGTGGAAAAACTGAAACATCAAGAAATTGAAACATGAAAATGTGAAGAAATTGAAAAGTAGAGAACTCGAAAAACTGAAAAATAAAGAAATAAAACTAAAAAAGAAAGAAATCGAAACAACCCAAATTCGATTAATTGAAACACCAAAAAATTGAAAAATCAAAAAATCTAAGATTTAAAAAATTGAAAAATTGAAAAGTCGAAACACCAAAAAACTGAAAAATTCAAAAATCGGAAAATCAAAAAAGTGAGTCAAAATTTCGAAAAATTCCAAACTGATATATCGAAAAATTGCGAAGTCGGTAAATCGGAAAATCGAAAAATTGAAAAATGGAAAGAAAATTGAAAAATTCCAAGACTTAATCTTCGAATAAATTGAGAACTCGAAAATTCGAAAAATCGCGAAGTGGAAAAATCGAAAATTGAAGAAAATTGAAAAATTGGGAATACAAAAATCTGAAAAATATCGAAATTTCAATAAATCGAGAAATCGTAAAATTGAAAAGTTGAAAAAATAAAAAAATCGAAATTTTTAAGAATCAAAATATTGAAAAATTCCAAAATTGAAAAAATTGAGAAATTGAAAAAATAGAAAATTGAGAAACTGAAAAGTCGAAAAACCGAGAAGTGGAAAATGCGAAAACCAAAAAACCAAGAAATCAAGAAATTGACACATGAAAATATGGAGAAATTGAAAAGCAGATAACTCGAAAAACTGAAAAATAAAGAAATAAAACTAAAAAATTAAGAAATCGAAACAGTCCAAATTCAATCAATCGAAACACCGAAAAATGAAAAAATCAAAAAAATCCAAAGTTTAAATAATTGAAAAAGTACAAAATCGAAAAGTCGACAAAATCGAAAAACTGAAACATCGAGAATTCGAAATACCAAGACAATTGAAAAATTTAAAAATCAAAGAAAAATTGAAAAATTCCAAAACTGAAATTTAGAATAAATTGAGAACTCGAAAAGCCGAAAAATCGCGAAGTGGAAAAATCTAAAATTGAAGAAAGTTGAAAAATTGAGAATACTAAAATCTGAAAAATATCGAAATTTCAATAAATTGAGAAATCGTAAAATTGAAAACTTGAAATATCAAAAAAGTCTAAAATTTAAAAAAATTAAAAATTGAGGAATCAAAAAATCGAAATTTTTAAGGGCCAAAATATTGAGAAATTCCAAAAATTGAAAAAATTGAGAAATCGAAAAAATAGAAAATTGAGAAACTGAAAAGTCGAAAAACCGAGAAGTGGAAAAAGCGAAAATCAAAAAACCGAGAAATCAAGAAATTGAAACATGAAAATATGGAGAACTCGAAAAACTGAAAAATGAAGAAACAAAATTAGAAAATAAAGAAATCGAGACAGCCCAAATTCGATCTATCGAAACACCGAAAAATTGAGAAAGTAAAAAATCGAAAAGTCAAAAAATCGGATAACTGAATAATCGAGAAATCGAAACACCAAAAAATTGAAAAACTTAAAAATTGAAAAGTCAAAAAAGTGAGTCGAAATTTCGAAAATATCCAAACTGAAATATTGAAAATTTGCTAAATCGGAAAGTCGAAAAATTGAAAGATCGAACAAAAAATCCAAAAATTGAAAAATTCCCAAAATTGAAATGTTGAAAAATTGAGAAACTGAAAACTTTAAAAATCGAGAAATCGAAAAATCAAAAAGCTTAAAAATTTTAAATTTCGAAACACCGAAATGTTGAGAAATTAAAATTTCCAAAAATCGGGATATCAAAAAATCGTAAAATCGAAAAACGTAAAATTTAAAAAATCCAAAACTTGAACAATCAAAACTCTGAAGAATCGGAGAACTAAAAAACGACAAATTGAATCCTAAAACTGAAATGTCGGAAAATGGAGAAATCGAAAAATTGAAAAATCGGAACATCGAAAAATTGGAACGAAAAATCGAAAAGGTGCAAAGTCGAAAAACGAAGAATCAAAAAACCGAGGAATCCAAACGTGGAAAAAATGAAACATCCAGGAATCGAAATAGCCCAAATTCAAAAGTCAAAACTTAAAAATACTCAAAAAGTAGAAAATCGAGAAATCAAAAAATCGAAATTTTTAAGAATCGAGATGTTGAAAAATTCTGAAATTGAAAAATAGAGAACTCGAAAAATTGAAAAATAAAGAAATAAAACTAAAAAATAAAGAAATCGAACCAGCCCAAATTCTATAAACGAAACATCGAAAAATTGAAAAATCAAAAAATCTAATAGCTATTTAAAAAATTGAAAAAATAAAAACTCGTCTAATCAAAATATCGAAAATTCGAAAAATCGATATTTTGTAAAATTCAAAAATTGAAAAATCGAGAAATCGAAACGCGAAAAAATTTAAAAATTTAAAAATCGAAAAGTCAAAAAAGTGAGTCGAAATTTCGAAAAATTCCATACTGAAATATTGAAAAATTGTGAAGTTGATAAATGAGAAAATCCAGAAATTGAAAAATCGAAGGAAGATTAAAAATGTTTAATTAAAACTGAAACTACGAATAAATTGAGAAATGGAAAAGTGAAAAATCAAAAAAGTCTAATATTTAAAAAACTGAAAAAGTAAAAAATCGAGATATCAAAAAATCTAAAATTAAGAAACTGAAAAGTCGAAAAAGCGAGAAGTGGAAATGGAACATGAAAATATGGAGAAACTGAAAAGTAGAGAATCCGAAAAACTGAAAAATAAAGAAACCAAAACAGCCCAAATTCGATAAATCGAAACATCGGAAATTTGACAAATCAAAACATCGAAAAGTCAAAAAATCGATTAACTCAAAAATCGAAAAATCGAAACATGAAAAAATTTAAAAATTTGAATATTGAAAAGTCAAAAAAGTGAGTCGAAAATTCGAAAATATTGAAAAATTGCTAATTCGGTAAATCAGAAAATCGAAAAATTGAAAAATTTCAAAATTGAAACTTCGAGTAAATTGAAAAATGAAGAAAATTGAAAAACTGACAGTACAAAAATCTGAAAAATTGCGAAATTTCGATAAATCAAGAAATCGAAAAATGCAAATTCAGAAATGGAAAAGTCGAAAAATCAAGAAGTGGAAAAGTTGAAAATCGAAAAATTGAAAAATCGGAAAATCAAAAAAATCTAAAATTTAAAAAGTCGAAAAAGTGAACAATCGATAAATCAAAAATCGAAACGTCGAAAAATCCAAATTTTGAAGCATCGAAGAATTGTGAAATCGAAAAAATGAAAAATTGAGAAATCGAAGTGGAAAAACTGAAAAATTGGAAGAACGAAAAATCGAAAAGTCAAAGAACCGAGAAATCGAGAAATTGAAACATTGAAAAATGGAAAAATCGGGAAATTGAGTAACTGAAAAATCCAAACATTTAAATTTCGATAAATCGAGACGTCCAAAAATTGGAAAATTGAAATTGAACTAAAACATCAGGAAAAATCAAAATTTTGAAGAATCGAAAAATTAAATTCGAGAAACCGAAACACCAAAAAATTGAAAAAGTAAAAACCCAAGAAAATGAATAATAATAATAATAATAGTTTATTTACGGAAATATACCATTACAAATCACAACAATAGTTACACTTTACATATTTAAAGCATTCTTCAGCTCCCTTTTAAAAACATTAATTGACACACCACAAAAGTTCAGATCATTATACTCCATCGCCAGTTTAGCCATGCGGCATAACGGAGATTTTTGAGCATATAGTGTGCGATGGAAAGGCACTTGGAGCAAATGAGAACCTCTTGTGGCGCGATTAGGTACATGTAAAGAAAACATATTAAGAATGTCGGAACAATTTACACGGTTATTTAACACATTAAAAACAAAGCACAAATCAAAGTAATGGCGACGACTTATTAAGAAACTAAGCCCGAAATATTTAACTATGAGTTCGTAATTATTCTTATCAAATATAACATTTAGTTTAAAACATAAAAATTTAATGAACTTTCTTTGAATTTTTTCAAGTCTAGATATATAGAGCTGATAGTAAGGTGACCAAATTATACAGCAATACTCTAATAATGAGCGAACATATGAGTTATATAAAATGCAAAAGACACGAAGGCTAGTAAACTCCTGACATTGTCTTAGAACAAATCCCAAGGTTTTATTAATTTTATTGACAATTTTATCAACATGTATAGTAAAGGCTAATTTTGGATCTAACATTACACCCAAGTCACAAAAATATGCTACTTGTTCTACAACTACATCCGAAATATTATAATTGAATTCAGGTACTTTAACAATTTTTTTAGAGAATCTCATAGATTTACATTTGTGTACGTTAAGCTTAAGACTATTATCTGAACACCACATTTTAAACTTATCTAGGTCTTTTTGAAGTAAAATACAATCAAAGGGAGAATTGATAGCTCTAAACAATTTCAAGTCATCAGCATATAATAGAAAAAGACTGTTTTGAAATACATATTTTACATCGTTGACATATAATAAGAACAGAATAGGTCCCAAGTGGGAACCTTGCGGAACACCAGAACATGCATCAATTGATTTAGATAATATGCCATTAAATTCAACATGCGACTTACGATTTGTTAAGTAGCATTCTATCCAGCCAAGCAAAGGATCAAATATCCCAAAATGTTTTAATTTATTCATCAAATGTTTAATGTTGACTGAATCGAATGCTTTGCTAATATCAGTAAAAATACAATCAACTTCCGATCCCAGTTCATTCATATTAGTAACAAATTCCGTGAAAAGAAATAAATTGGTGGTAGTTGATCTCCCACTGAAAAAACCATGTTGCTCAGTAATAATAGTTTCTTTCACACTAGCAAATAAAAAATCTGCAACAATTGCATCAAAGATCTTAGGAATAAATGGTAATTTAGAGACACCACGATAATTACTAATAATATTTCTAGAGCCACTTTTAAATATTGGCAAGACAAAGGACTTTTTCCAACAATCTGGAAATACAGATAAAGACAATGATTTATTGAACATTATTTGAAGTGGATTAATCAGAGAAAGCAGACATTTTTTAACAAAGATCGCAGGAACACCATCTGGTCCTGGGTGACTAGAGTTATTAAAAGATTGCACTTTTTTCAAGATATCATCGTAGGTGATATGAATAAAATTTAAATCTAAAGCAGTATCACAGTAATAAGTATCACAGAAATTAACATCGGGATCAGGATGACTAAATACAGATTGAAAATATGATGCAAACAAGTCAGCAATGTCAAATGAAGAATGAGCTTCCACGTCATTATAATACATTGTTTTAGGAAAGCCACTGTTCTGTTTATTGGCTTTTACATAGTTCCAAAACATTTTTGAATTAGATATTATATTATTTTCCACCTTATCAATATATAATTGTCTACAATTGTGAATAGCCTCTTTACATTCGTATCTTAATTGAGCAAATCTTACGTAATCATAATGTGAATTAGATTTTTTATAATCCTTATGAGCTATTTTCTTCTGTATAATTAAAGATTTAGTAGAATTATCTATCCAACTGGGAAATTTATTATTATTTTGACATTTTTTTAACGGAATGAATGTTTCGATTACATAATTGATTATACTATAGAAAGCACTTACACATTGATTAATATCAAAGAAATTGTTTAAGAAATTCCAGTTTACATTTGATAGGTAATTATCAATTAGTTCATAGGGGGCATTTCCAAAATCACGATAAAAACACGGTTCGATAGATTTCAAAATAGGAGTATTAATATCACAGATGTTTGCAATCACAGCTGGATGGTATTTATCACATTTCAAAAGAGGTAAGCATTCATTGACCAATGTGATGTGGTTACAAAAAATTAAATCTAGAGTTACAAAGTTGACATTTTGTACGGAATTGTGTTGAGCCAAGCCGGCAAAAGCCATACCATCGCAGATGATGCGTTCAGTGTCACAGCTAACATTCGATGGATACAGTCCTTCCGACATGCTTTCTGTAGATGCTGCATTCCACTTAATATCAGGCAAATTGTAATCACCTACTATGCATACAATGTGATTAGGATAGCGTGACACAATACAATTAACCAATTCAATATGATCACTATAAAGTTGACGAGCTGATCCTGGTGGAATGTAGCAAGCCCCGAGAATTATATTAGTTTTACCAACTACTAGTTTTATCCAAATTTCTTCCCTATTTGATGTGTTAACATCAAGTTCACTGGAACTGTAATGGGACTGTATGGCAATGAGCACTCCACCCCCTCGAGTCTTGATGCTTGTTTGAGATGATCTGTCTTTCCTAAATACACAGTATCTTTTATCAATAAATTCACTATTAAAAATGCCATCACACAGCCACGTTTCAGAAATTACTATTATTGGGTAACACTCACTGAGGATTGAATGGCACAATTCGTTTAGCTTTGTTCTAAGTCCTCGGACATTTTGATAGTAAATCTGTAAACTATCAAGATTCTGTAAACTATCAAGATTTTTGCCTTCACCTGACATTAAGACGTGACCTAATTGTGTGCTTCTGAAGGCTTCCTTACATTTTGAGATGCCTCCCCTTCTTTTTTCTTTAAAAAATAAAATTTCTTAATTATAACACCTTCCGGCCATAACTCTTCTTTGAAAAAATCGTTGTAAATAGTTGGATCAACCGTTACCTTAAAGGAAACACTTTTGGCATTAATTCTTCTAGGCAGTTTGTCAACTATAAATTCAAAGTTTGGAAATTTAGATCTTAAAAATTCATTAACATCATTTTCCACTGTATTTGGTTGTAAATTGCCAACATAGACAGTACTGAGACGCTTCGCAGCCTTGAGTGACATATTTTGTAAAGTAGCATTCCCTCTAACAATTTTACGTTTATTCCTCCTAGACATTTTTGTTTGAAACCCATCTGCATCAACTAGAACGCTGTTGTTGTAAGATGTTGTGTTTTTGTTATAGATGCTCCCTTGACTCTGTGTTTTTGTCGTTGGCATAATTGGTTCGAGATTAAAATTCGGTGAACCATCATCATTACTAATAATGATGAAAATTGAATTGTCCAAATATCGAAAGATTGAAACGAAATATTGAAAAATTGAAAAACTGAAAACTCGAAAAATCAAAAAGTGGAAAAATTGAAAAATGAAAACATTGAAAAATTGAAAAGACAAAATTTTGAAAAATTGGAAAAACCAAAAATTGAAAAAACGAAAATTCGGAAAATCAAAAATCGAGAAATCTTGAAATCAAAACAAAACATTGAAAAATTGAAATGAAAAATTGAGAAAACGAAAAAGAAAAATTCGGAAACTCGAAAAATCGGGAAATTGAACTGAAAAATCGAAAAGTCGGAGAACCCAGAAAAATATAAAAGTCGATAAATCGATTATTCTAGAAACCGAGAAATCGGAAAATCAAAAATTAAGAAACGCCAAAATTTGAAAAATTGGAAAATCGAGAAATTCAAAAACCGTAAAAGTGAAAATTGGGGAAACGAAAAATTAAAAAACCAAGAAATCGAAAATCTGAAAAATCGAGAAATTGAAGAAACGAGAAACTGAATGATCAAAAAACCGAAACATCGAAAAGTTTAAGAATTAAAAAACTGAAAAAACCCAAAACTGAAATATCCAAAAAGTAAGAAATCGAAATTGAAAAATTTCGGATCAATAAACCAAAAAATGGAAGAGATATCCTAATATTTTATAAAATATCGTACTTAAAAAGTTTTTAAATATGGTTAACGAACAGATGGAGCGATCACGTGTCATACCTTCTGAGCTGCGACATGACGTGGTGCATGAGCGAGGCCTCCTCTTGGAGGGCGTTGTACTGGATGCAGTCGGACTCCAGCTCGGAGGCCAAGTCCTCCAGGAACTCCACGGCCACGTCGTCCTCGAACACGGGCTGGCGGATCGTAGTAACCCAGCGGTAAACAAACTGAATCACCCTCCGTTTACACGCCAGAACGAACTCTTTGTCTTGGTTTGACGAATCTATTCTATAAGTGGGATCCATTAAGGAAAATTTCGCAACGCAATCAACAACAATCATTTCGCAAAAAAAGGATATTATGCGTCTAGCTCGGCGGCGAGTTGATGAGTAGGAATGAACACAATGTGTGTGAGTAAAAAGTCGTCCAAGAACGGATCTTGCGCCGACGTGATTATAAAATTGTCCCCGCCGCCCATGGTCCCTCGTCCATCGAGTCGCGTTTCCAGCAGGTGCTCCAGCATCTTCTGCGGCGTCCCCGCCATCACAGTATATCTGAAACCGCGCGATTACGCAACGTCTCACTCGCCCGCGAGCTTACTTGAAGTGCGTGGTGAATATTTGCTTAGTCGGAGTGTTAATTTTCTCCAGGATTAAAACATCCTTGCCGTGTTCTTTCAGTCGGACGGTGTTTGCCTCCACGTCTCTTAATATCCGGTTGAAGTTTTCTTTATCGACGCGCAAGAAGTGACAATTGTTTTCCCTTAAAACTATGGTGGCGGCTCTACGAGGGAGAGAATGGGTGATTCGATTTAAGGGATGAGCGGGTTTACCTTGGGGCGTCATTGATAAGGGCGAGTTTGCCGAAGTCGTCCCCTTCGTGCAAAGTATTAACTGTGCCTTTGCCGTGTATCACAACATCTACAGACCCGCGGACTATAATGTACCAAGATCTACCCTCGTCTCCTTGGTGAAATACTGAAAGAGACGTTTTATAATGGATAGCAGACGAAAGCCATTTACATTATGATTGATACATAAAAAGTTTAAGCGAATCTCGGCTCGGAGGACGCTTAAACTTTTCAGACAATAAAAATGCGACAGATTAAGAGCGACCTGAAAAAAGATATAAAGGGAACGTATTTGTGCACTTGGACGAAGTTGATGGCTTTGATGAAACTTTGATCGACGTTGCAGACGTAACTTTTCAACTTACTATTTAAGTTTGGAGTTAAAACGTGCGGATTGGTCGAAAATCGAACGTAATTTAATCGATACGGGTTTTGTAGTGGGGGTTCTGGTCACTCGACTGCACAAAAAACGGTAACGTTTTCTCACGTAAATTTCCGATAAGAATGGACCAGAAGACCCACTATATAACTACTATCGCTAAAATCTAAATTCACACTTTCAACAGTTGGGTGTACATTTTTCTTTACGAAATGTGTCATAAAAAAAGATTGTATTATTTCGATAGAACTTCCCTCGCCCCTGAAGTAGAGGCTAACAAATCCCGCTTCTTTGATAAATTATAAAAAAATGTGATTTTTGTTTTATAATAGTATTATGCTAATGTAAATGCTCCTCGAAAAATCGAAAAACTGAGAAATTCAAAAATCGAAAATTGAAAATTTACAAATTATAAATACCAAAAAATCAAAAACTGAAAAATAGAAATACGAAAAGTGGAAAAATTGAAAGATCGAGCAATACAGGCATCAAAAAATCAAAAATCGAAAATTTCCCAAAATTGAAATGTTGAAAAATTGGGAAATTAAAACTTGAAAAAATCCTAAAATCGAAAAATTGAAAATTAAAAAACTGAAAAATAAAAAAACGAAAAAACCAGAAATTGATGAGTTGGAAAAACAAAAAGTTGAAGAAGCGAAAAATTGAAAAATTGCAAAATAAAAAAAATTGAGAGATCAAAAAATCGGAAAGTTGATATATTGAACAATTCCAAAATGAAATATTGAAAAATTGATGTCGATAAATCGGAAAATTGAAAAGATAACAAAATCGTAAACCTGAAATATCGGAAAATTGAGAAACAGTAAAATTAAAAAATCGAAAAACCGGAAATATAAAAATCGGGAAATTGAATTGAAAAACTGAAAAAATAAGAAATTGATACACCAAAAAATTGAAAAATTAATAAATCGAGAAAACGAAAAATTGAAAAATCGAAAAATCGAAACGAAATGTTTGAAAATTTCGGTCAAGAGGAAAGTAAAAAAATTGAAACATAACGAACATTGAAGAATCCCAAAACCGAAATTTCGAAAATTTGAGAAATCGGAGAATTGAAAATTGAGAAACCGAAAAGTCGAAAAATCGAGAAGTGGAAAAATCAAAATATTGAAAAATTTCGAAAACAAAACATAAAAGTTGAAAAATTGGGAAATAGGTAAATCGAAATAACGAACATTTGGAAAAAAGAAACATCGAAACGGTGAAAAGACGAAAAATCAAAAACCAAGAATTCGAAAAACTGAAAAATACAAAAATCGAAATATTCCAAATACGATAGAGTGAAAAATTAGAAAACCAGAAAATCTAAACTTAAAAAATCGAAAAAGGACGTCTCTAAAAATGGATAACCTGAAAAATCCGGAAATCGAAACACCAAAAAACTGAAAAATTGAAAAAATAAAAAATCAAGAACACAAGAAATCGAAAAATTGAATCGAAATATTGAAAAATCCAGCACTGAAATGTTGAAGAATTGTTAATGGGGTAAATTGGAAAATCAAAAAATGAAAAAATCGAATGAAAATTGAAGAATCCCAAAACAGAAACTTCTAAAAACTGAAAAATTGAGAAATCAAAAAGTCGAAAAATCGAGAAATGGAAAAATCGTAAAACTGAGAAGACAAAATCCTGAAAAACTGAAAAAGTAAGAAATCGAGAAATCGAAAAATCTAAATGTCGCAAAATCGAAAAATTGAAACAAAATATTCGAAAATTCAGCACTGAAATTATTTTTCAATTCAATTTTCTGATTTTCGATTTTTCCATTTCTCAATCAAAAAGTCTAATTTTTGATTTCTCAATTTTTCAATTTTTTAAAGTTTCAGTTTAGGCAGTCTTCAATTTTCCTTCGATTTTTCAACTTTTTGATTTTCCAATTTACCGCCTTATCAATTTTTCAATATTTCTCTGCTGGATTATTCAATATTTTGATTTTTTGATTTCTTGATTTTTTCTTTTTCAGTTATTCAATTTTTTGGTGTTTCGATTTTCCGGTTTTTCAATTTTTCGATTCTTCAAAACTGAAACTTTGAAAAATTGAAAATTTGAAAAATTGCAAAATTGCCAAATCAAAAAGTCGAAAAACCGAGAAATGGAAAAAACGAAAATTGAAAAAATCGAAAAATTGAAAAGATAAAAAATCGTGAACGTGAAATTTCGGAAAAATTGATAAGTGGGTAAATGGAAAATCGAAGGAAAATTAAAGAATCCCAAAACTGAAAACAAAAAAATTAATCGAAATATTAAAGAATTTCAAAATTCAAATTTTGAAAAATTAATCAATCGATAAATCGGAAAACCGAAAAATATAAAAATCGAAGGAAAAACGAAAAATCGCAAAACTGAAACTTCAAAAAAAATGAAAAATCGGAAAACCGAAAACTGAAAAACCGAAAAGTCGAAAAATCGAAAGTGGAAAAATAAAAAAATCGAAATATTGGGAAGGCAAAAACCTTAAAACTGAAAAATTGGGAAATTGGGAAATCGAAATATCCAAAAATTGGGAAATCGAAACATTGGAAAGGCGAAAAGTCATCAATAAAATCAAAAACCCAAGTAATTGAAAAAATGAAAAATAGAAACATGGAAATCTCGATAAATGGAGAAATAAAAAAATTGAGAAATTGAAAAATTAAAAAACCAAAAAACTCTAAACTTTAAAAAACCGAATAAGTAAAAAATCGAGAAGTCGAAAAATCGAAAAATTGAATTGAAATATTGAAAAATACAGCGCTGAAATATTGAAAAATCGGTAAATCGGAAAATCAAAAAAGTGAAAAATCGAAGGAAAATTGAAGAATCTCAAAAATGAAACTTCGAAGAACTTAAAAATCGACAAATTGAAAAATTGAGAAATCAAAAAGTAGAAAAATCGAGAAATTAAGGAGACGAAAACTTGAAAACCTGAAAAGTTGAAAAATCGAAAAATATCGGAAAATTAAGAACTCGAGAAGTGGAAAAATCGGTCATTTGAGAAAATCCAGGAAAACTGAATAATTGAAACATTGAAAAACCGAAAAATTAAAAGGTTGAATCGAAATATTGAAGAATTCCAAAACTTTGAACAATTGAAAAATTGAAAAATCAAAGGAAAATTAAAAAATCCCAACATCGAGAAGTGGAAAAATCGAAAAACTGAGAAGACGAAAACCTGAAAAACTGAAAAATTGAAAAGATAAAAATGCAAAACCTGAAATTTTGGAAAATTGAGAAACCGAAAAATTAAAAAATCGTTAAATCGAAAATTAAAAAAATCGGGAAATTGAATTGAAAACGTGAAAAATCGAAAAATCAAGTAATCAAGAAGTGGAAAAATCGATCATTTGAAAAATCAAAAAACCGAAGTCCCGGAAAATCGAAATTTTAAAGAATCGAAAAATTGAAAAACCGGAAAATCGAAACACTAAAAAATTGAATAATTGATAAAGAAAAAATCAAGAAATCAAAACAGCGAAATATTGAATAATCCAGCAGAGAAATATTGAAAAATTGGGAACTGGGATAATCGGAAAATCAAAAAATTGAAAAATCGAAGGAAAATTGAAGACTGCCAAAACTGAAACTTTAAAAAATTGAAAAATTGAGAAATCAAAAAGTCTAACAATTGAGAAATGGAAAGATCGAAAATTGAAAAAATAAACTATTTAAAAAGACGGGAAATTGAATTGAAAAATAAAAAATCCAGAAATCGGAACACCAAAAAATTGAAAAATTGAAGGAAAATTGAAAAATACCAAAACTGAAACTTTGAAAAATTGTGAAATATAAAGAATGAAAAATTGAGAAATCGAAATCCGAAAATTCAAGAAGTTGAAAAATCGAGAAGTCGAAAATTGAAAGAAAATTGAAAAAATTGAGAAATCTGTAAAACTGGATAAACGATAAATTGAAAAGACGAAAATTCGAAAAATCAAAAAACCGTGAAATTAAACATGAAAAGATGGAGGAATCGAAACATCGAACAATTGAAATATCAAGAAATCGAAAAAAAAATTGAAAAATTGAAAATTCGAAACCAGAGAAATATTGGAAAATTGATTCAGTAAATTGAAAAATCGAAGGCAAATTGAAGAATCCTAACTCTGAAACTTCCAAAAATCGAAAAAAATTGGGAAGACAAAAACCTGAAAATTGAAAAATTGGAAAATTGGGAAATCGAAATATCGAAAACTTGGAAAACCAAAAAACCAAAAAATTGATAAACTGAATAATAGAGAAATCGAAACAGTCCAAGTTCGATAAATGAGAATCGAGAAATCAAAAAATTGAGAAATTGGAAAAACGAAAAATTGAAAAACCAAAAAATCGAAAAAGAAAAAAATCAAGAAATCAAGGAATCGAAATTCTGAAGAATCAACAAACTGAAAAATCGGGAAATCGAAACACCAAAAAAATTGAAAAATTGAAAAAGAAAGCAATCAAGAAGTCGAAAAATCAGCATTGAAATATTGAAAAGTCGGAATATCGGAAAATCAAAAAAAATTTAAAAATCGAAGGAAAATCGAAGAATTCTGAAACTGAAACTTCGAAAAATTGAAAAATTGAGAAACAGAAAATTCGAAAAATTAAGACGACAAAAAACCGAAAAACTGAAAAATCGAAAAGTTAAAAAATCGTAACCTGAAATTTGCAAATATGGAGAAACCGAAAAATTTTAAAATCGGGGACTCGAAAATTTAAAAAATATGGAAATTGAATTGAAAAACCGAAAAATCGAAAATTCAAGAAATCGAAAAACCGAACATTTAGAAAAGGCAAAAACTGAAATATTGAAAAATCGAAAAAGTATGAAATCAAGAAATCGAAATTTCTAAAAATCAAAAGAAAAAATTGAAAATTGGGACATCAAGACTTCAAAAAAGCGTAAACGGAAAATTGAAAAATCGAAAAACGTAAAATTTAAAAAATTCAAAAATTGAAAAAACGAATCATCGAAAAATTTAAAAATTGCAGAATCGGGAAAAAGAACAATTGAAAAAATTGGAATATCGAAATTTCGACAAATCGAGAAATCAAGAAATCAAAAAATTGAAAAATCCCAAAACTGAAGCTTCGAAAAATTGAGAAGTCGAAAAGTCGAAAAATCAAGAAGTCGAAAAGTCGAAAAATCGAGAAGTGGAAAAATTGAAAATTGAAAAAAATAGAAAAACTCAAGACGAAAACCTGAAAAATCGAAGAAACGAAAAATTGAAGAACTAAAAAAATGAATAAATGAAAAATAGTAAGTCTGAACGACAGGAAAATTGAGAAACCGAAAAATTAAAAAATCGAGAAATCGAAAAGTCGAAAAACCGAAAAGTCCAAAAATCGAGAAGTGGAAAAATGAAAAAACTGAGAAGACGAAAACTTGAAAAACTGAAAAATTGAAAATATAAAAAACATAAAGCTGAAATTTCAGAAAATTGGGAAACCAAAAAATTAAAAAATCGAGAAATCGAAAATTTAAAAAATCGGGAAATCGGGAAGTGGAAAAATCGATCATTTGAGGAATTGAGGAATCGAAAAATTGAAAAATCGAAGGAAAATCGAAGAATCCTGAAACTGAAACTTCGAAAAATTGAAAAATTGAGAAACAGAAAAGTCGAAAAATTAAGACGACGAAAATCTGAAAAACTAAAAAATCGAAAATATAAAAAAACATAAACCTGAAATTTCAGAAAATTGGGAAACCAAAAAATTAAAAAATCGAGAAATCGAAAATTTAAAAAATCGGGAAATCGGGAAGTGGAAAAATCGATCATTTGAGGAATTGAGGAATCGAAAAATTGAAAAATCGAAGGAAAATCGAAGAATCCTGAAACTGAAACTTCGAAAAATTGAAAAATTGAGAAACAGAAAAGTCGAAAAATTAAGACGCCGAAAATCTGAAAAACTGAAAAATTGAAAAGTTAAAAAATCGTAAACCTGAAATTTGGGGAAATTGAGAAACCCAAAAATTTAAAAATCGGGGACTCGAAAATTTAAAAAATCTGGAAATGGAAAAAGTATGAAATCAAGAAATCGAAAATTCTAAAAATCGAAAGAAAAAATTGAAAATTGGGAAACCAAGACTTCAAAAAAGTGTAAACGTAAAATTGAAAAATCGAAAAACGTAGAATTTAAAAAATTCAAAAATTGAAGAAACGAAACATCGAAAAATTAAAAAATTGCAGAATATCGAAATTTCGACAAATCGAGAAATCGAAAAATGAAAAAATTGAGAAATCAGGTTATTGAAAAATTGAAAAATCGAAGGAAAATTGAAAAATCCCAAAACTGAAACTTCGAAAAATCCAGAAGTCGAAAGGTCGAAAAATCGAGAAGTCGGAAAGTGGAAAAATTGAGAAGTGGAAGAATTGAAAATTGAAAAAATCGAAAAACTTAGAAGAAAAATCGAAGAACTAAAAAAACTGATAACTTGGAAAATCGAAAAATCGATTCCGCGAGAAATCGAGAAATAGAAGAAGTGAAAATTTAGAAACGCCAAAAATTGAAAAATCCGAACATCGAAAAATATAAAAAATGAAAAATCGAAAAATTGAAGAATCAAAAAACCGAAATGTCGAAAAATTGAGTAATTGAAATATATTGAAAATTAAAAATTTCAAGACGGATTCATAAACCACAACTGGAGGAATACATCATTTTGTAAAATTTAAATAACATTTACTATTTATTTACTGATAAAATCGTCACAGACGACAGACAGACAGACAAACGGAAACAGAAAACTCATTTTTTCGTACTCTAGGAGTCATAAAACGTCCGATGACTCAATAATACTTCCTTAGCTTACGCCCGAGAAACAAAAATAAAACAAATGATTCAACTCCCGGAAAAGGAAGTGCTTTTTAATCACAGTAGCCATTGTCTCGTTTTTTCCATAAACATTAATTAAGCCAGAGGGTAATTAAAACCCGCCGTTCTTGCAAATACGTGTACACAATAAAATTAAAAATTAAAATTACGTTTTCTGTACGAACTTTAGTCACAAACATGCACCCTATTGCACCATTTTTACAAACATTTAAAATAATTCAAACTCATCACTTTATTAATAAGTTAAACATATATCAGTTTGAAGCAATTTTTCCTACTCACAAACAGTCCCGGCCCTTGGATGCGCTTCAAAAACAATAACCGACGACAACTCCCTCTTCACGGAGTTGGACAGGTGCGACAACGCTCGAATATGAAGCAGCTCTTCATAGATAGTTTCCAAATCGTCGGACGTCCTTTCGTGGCTCCTGTCAACCAAAAACCATAAATAAAAACTTAATCAATAACCTGAGCGCCCAAAAGCAAGCACCGCCAACTTTTAGCGCCATTCTGAACAAGCGAAAAACGCACTGCTTCCTGAGTATCATCCTGAGCACGGCGTCTGGACCCCGATGAATCAGTGTCCCCAAGGAGTCCTGTATTTGTTCCTCTGCGGTGGCAACATCCTCCAACGGCGGAAGTGAGGTCGGGCCCTCCTCGTCTTGCCAGAATCGGTAGAGGAAACATTTATCCTTAAAAGGTTGCTCCTTGTTAACTGGAAAGTAAATTGGCTTGTTTCAGGAAAGGGATCTTGTCAGGAACGAATGATACTCATAAATAATTTCGAACCCTTTCTCCGCTCGCCCGAAAAGGGAATTTTTGAAACTACTCATCCGCGCTAATCCCGCGAACGTGCCCCGAGCTAAAATACGCCTTGAATACGCTATTTTTATAGCAGATTTATAGCTTCAGGATGTTTTTGGAGTAAGGTTAGAAAATAAATACAATATGTGATATGACACCAATCTGGAGCGGGATTGTTTTTTCGGGACTAACCGTGAGAAATGACTCCTTCTTCGAGCAGGGCCTGCCACATTCCTGCGGCTTGAGCTCTCCTGTGGATACTGGAGGACAGGCTTAATTTTACAAAATGACGTATTCCTCCAGTTGTGGTTTATGAATCCGTGTTGAGATTTTTAATTTTCAATATTTCAATGACTCAATTTTTCGACATTTCGGTTTTTTGATTCTTCAATTTTTCGATTTTTCATTTTTTATATTTCTGGATGTTTGGATTTTTCAATTTTTAGCGTTTCTAAATTTTCACTTCTTTGAGTTTTCGATTTCTCGAAGAATGGATTTTTCGACTGTTGAATCTCTCGATTCTTCGATTTTCCAAGTTTTCATTTTTGAGTTCTTCAATTTTTCGTTTCTTCGATTTTCGACTTTCCGACTTCTCGATTTTTCGACCTTTCGACTTCTCAATTTTTTAAAGCTTTAGTTTTGGGATTTTTCAATTTTCCTTCGATTTTTCAATTTTTCAATTTTCCGATTTTTCGAAATTTCGATATTCCAATTTTTTCAATTGTTCTTTTTCCCGATAGTGCAATTTTTAAGTTTTTCGATGTTTCGTTTTTTCAGCTTTTGAGTTTTTTTAATTTTACGTTTTTCGATTTTTCAATTTTTCGTTTATGCTTTTTTGAAGTCTTGATTTCCCAATTTTACAATTTTTTCTTAAGATTTTTAGAATTTTCGACTTCTTGATTTAATACTTTTTCGATTTTTCAATATTTCAATTTTTGATTTTCTAAATTTTTTTCTTGAATTTTTTTTCAATTCAATTTCCAGATTTTTTAAATTTTCGAGTCCTCGATTTTTAAATTTTTCGGTTTCTCAATTTTCCTAAATTTCAGGTTTACGATTTTTTAACTTTTCAATTTTTAGTTTTTCAGATTTTCGTCTTCTTAATTTTTCGACTTTTCTGTTTCTCAATTTTTCAATTTTTCGAAGTTTCAGTTTCAGGACTCTTCGATTTTCCTTCGATTTTTCAAATTTTTGTTTCGAATTCCCCATTTTTCATTTCGAATTTTCGAGACTTTTTCGATTTTTTGATTTCTGGATTTTTTACTTTTTCGATTTTTTAAAGTTTGGATTTTTTGGTTTTTCAATTTTTCGTTTTTTCAATTTCTCAATTTTTTGATTTCTCTATTCTTATTTGTCGATATTTCGATGTTTCGATTTTTCAATTTTTCGATGTTGCGATTTATCGAATTTGGACTATTTCGATTTGTCCATTTTTCAGTTTTCCAATTTTTTGTTTTTTTGATTTTTCGATTTTTTCGCCTTTTCGTTTTCCGAATTTTTCAATATTGCGATTTTCCAATTTCACAATTTTTCAATTTTCAGGTTTTTGTCTTCCCAATTTTTCGATTTTTGGAAGTTTCAGAGTTAGGATTCTTCAATTTGCCTTCGATTTTTCAATTTACTGACTTACCAATTTTCCAATATTTTTCTGCTTTCGACTTTTCAATTTTTCAATTTTTTTTTTCGATTTCTGGATATTTCAATTGTTCGATGTTTCGATTTCTCGATCTTTTCATGTTTCGATTTCATGGTTTTTTGATTTTTCGAATTTTCGTCTTTTCAATTTATCGTTTATCCAGTTTTACAGATTTCTGAATTTTTCAATTTTCTCTCAATTTTCGACTTTTCGATTTTTCGACTGTTGAATCTCTCGATTCTTCGATTTTCCAAGTTTTCATTTTTGAGTTCTTCAATTTTTCGTTTCTTCGATTTTTCGACTTTCCGACTTCTCGATTTTTCGACCTTTCGACTTCTCAATTTTTGGAAGCTTTAGTTTTGGGATTTTTCAATTTTCCTTCGATTTTTCAATTTTTCAATTTTCCGATTTTTCGAAATTTCGATATTCCAATTTTTTCAATTGTTCTTTTTCCCGATGCTGCAATTTTTAAGTTTTTTGATGTTTCGTTTTTTCAGCTTTTGAATTTTTTTAATTTTACGTTTTTCGATTTTTCAATTTTTCGTTTATGCTTTTTTGAAGTCTTGATTTCCCAATTTTACAATTTTTTCTTAAGATTTTTAGAATTTTCGACTTCTTGATTTAATACTTTTTCGATTTTTCAATATTTCAATTTTTGCCTTTTCTAAATTTTCGGTTTTTCGATTTCTCGAATTTTCGATTTTTCAATTCAATTTCCAGATTTTTTAAATTTTCGAGTCCTCGATTTTTAAATTTTTCGGTTTCTCAATTTTCCTAAATTTCAGGTTTACGATTTTTTAACTTTTTAATTTTTAGTTTTTCAGATTTTCGTCTTCTTAATTTTTCGACTTTTCTGTTTCTCAATTTTTCAATTTTTCGAAGTTTCAGTTTCAGGACTCTTCGATTTTCCTTCGATTTTTCAAATTTTTGTTTCGAATTCCCCATTTTTCATTCCGAATTTTCGAGACTTTTTCGATTTTTTGATTTCTGGATTTTTTACTTTTTCGATTTTTTTAAAGTTTGTCGATATTTCGATGTTTCGATTTTTCAATTTTTCGATGTTGCGATTTATCGAATTTGGACTAGATATTTCGATTTCTCCATTTTTCAGTTTTCCAGTTTTTTGTTTTTTTGATTTTTCGATTTTTTCGCCTTTTCGTTTTCCCAATTTTTCAATATTGCGATTTTCCAATTTCACAATTTTTCAATTTTCAGGTTTTTGTCTTCCCAATTTTTCGATTTTTGGAAGTTTCAGAGTTAGGATTCTTCAATTTGCCTTCGATTTTTCAATTTACTGACTTACCAATTTTCCAATATTTTTCTGCTTTCGACTTTTCAATTTTTCAATTTTTTTTTCGATTTCTGGATATTTCAATTGTTCGATGTTTCGATTTCTCGATCTTTTCATGTTTCGTTTTCATGGTTTTTTGATTTTTCGAATTTTTGTCTTTTCAATTTACCGTTTATCCAGTTTTACAGAATTCTCAATTTTTCAATTTTCTCTCAATTTTCGACTTTTCGATTTTTCGACTTCTTGAATTTTCGGTTTTTCCATTTCTCAATTTTTCATTTTTTAGATTTTACAATTTTCAAAGTTTCAGTTTTGGTATTTTTCAATTTTCCTTCAATTTGCAATTTTTTGATTTTCCGATTTTCCTAGTTATCAATTTTTCAATGTTTCTCTGCTAAATTATTCAATATTTCGATTTTTTGATTTCTTGATTTTTTCTTTTTCAGTTATTCAATTTTTCGGTGTTTCGATTTTCCGGTTTTCCAATTTTTCGATTCTTCAAAATTTCGATTTTCCGAGACTTCTTCGGTTTTTTGATTTCTCGGTTTTTTAAAGCTTAGATTTTTTGGGTATATCGATTTTCAATTTCTCCATTAATCGAGCTACTATGTTTCGATTTTCAGTTTTTCGATTTCTTGCTTTTATATTTTTTCGATTTTTCATTATTTCAATGTTTCAATTTTTGGCGTTTCTAAATTTTCGATTTTTCGATTCCTCAATTCCTCAAATGATGGATTTTTCCACTTCTCGATTTCTCGATTTTTCAGGTTTTCAATTCAATTTTCCGATTTTTTAAATTTTCGATTTCTCGATTTTTAATTTTTCGGTTTCTCAATTTTCCAAAATTTTTCAGTTTTTCAGGTTTTCGTCTTCTCAGTTTTTCGATTATTCCGCTTCTCGATTTTTCGACTTTTCGGTTTCTCAATTTTTCCAAATTTCAGTTTTGGGATTTTTCAATTTTCCTTTGATTTTTCCATTTTTCAATATTTGAGTTTTGGAATTCTTCAATATTTCGATTCAACTTTTTAATTTTTCGGTTTTTTTATGTTTCAATTATTCAGTTTTTCTGGATTTTCTCAAATGATCGATTTTTCCACTTCTCGATTTCTTAATTTTCCGATATTTCGGGTTTTCAAGTCTTCATGGCCTTAATTTTTCGATTTTTTCAATTTTCGATTTTTCCATTTCTCGATTTTTCTACTTTTTGATTTCTCAATTTTTCAATTTTTCAATTTTTCAGTTCTTCGAAGTTTCATTTTTGGGATTCTTCAATTTTCCTTCGATTTTTCAATTTTTTGATTTTCCGATTTACCGATTTATCAATTTTTCAATATTTCAGTGCTAAAATTTTCAATATTTCTTTTCCATTTTTTGATTTTTCGACTTCTCGATTTTTTACTTTTTCGGTTTTTTAAAGTTTAGATTTTTTTGTTTTTTTAACTTTTCAATATCTCAATTTTTTTATTTCTCCATTTGTCGAGATTTCCATGTTTCGATTTTCAATTTTTCCATGTTTCGATTTATCGAATTTGGAGTTTGCGATTTCTCTATTTTTCATTTTTTCAATTTCTTGGGTTTTTGATTTTCTTGATGACTTTTCACCTTTCCGATGTTTCGTTTTCCCAATTTTTCGATATTCCGATTTCCCAATTTCCCAATTTTTCAATTTTAAGGTCTTCCCAATATTTTAATTTTTTGATTTTCCACTTTTGATTTTTCGACTTTTCGGTTTAACGATTTCTCAATTTTTTGAAGTTTCAGTTTTAGGAGTTTTCGATTTTCCTTCAATTTTTCAATTTTTCGGATTTCCGATTTACCGATTTATTAGTTTTTCAAAATTTGAATTTTGACATTCTTTAATATTTCGATTCAATTTTTTGATTTTTCGACTTTTCGATTTATTGATTTTATACTTTTGCGATTTTTCAATACCTCAGTTTTTCAATTTTTTGGTGTGTCCATGTCTCGATTTTTCAACTTTTCAGTTTTTCAATTCAATTTTCTGATTTTAAAATTTTTCGAGTTCTCGATTTTTTAACTTTATGGTTTTTCAATTTTCCGATGTTTCAGGTTACGATTTTGTATCTTTTCAATTTTTCGATTTTTTCAGTTCTCGATTTTTCGGCTTTTCGATTTGGCAATTTTGCAACTTTTCGAGTTTTCAGTTTTTCAAAGTTTCAGTTTTGGGATTCTTCGATTTTCGTTCGATTTTTTCAATTTTTTGATTTTCCGATTGACGAACTTATCAATTTTTCATTATTTCAGTGCTGAATTTTCGAATATTTCGTTTCAATTTTTGAATTTTTCGACTTTTCACTTTCTCAGTTTTCGGTTTTCCAATTTCTCATTTTTTTTTTAAGTTTCTGTTTTCGGGTTCTTCAATTTTCCTTCGATTTTTCAATTTTTTGATTTTCCAATTCACTTACCCACGTAATAATTCTTCAATATTTCATGCTGGATTTTTCAATATTTCGATTCAATTTTTCTACTACTACTACTATGTTTCGATTTTCAATTTTTCGATTTCTTGCTTTTATATTTTTTCGATTTTTCATTATTTCAATGTTTCAATTTTTGGCGTTTCTAAATTTTCGATTTTTCGATTCCTCAATTCCTCAAATGATGGATTTTTCCACTTCTCGATTTCTCGATTTTTCAGGTTTTCAATTCAATTTTCCGATTTTTTAAATTTTCGATTTCTCGATTTTTAATTTTTCGGTTTCTCAATTTTCCAAAATTTTTCAGTTTTTCAGGTTTTCGTCTTCTCAGTTTTTCGATTATTCCACTTTTCGATTTTTCGACTTTTCGATTTCTCAATTTTTCGTTTACGCTTTTTTGAAGTCTTGATTTTCCAATTTTACAATTTTTTCTTAAGATTTTTAGAATTTTCGACTTCTTGATTTAATACTTTTTCGATTTTTCAATATTTCAATTTTTGCCTTTTCTAAATTTTCGGTTTTTCGATTTCTCGAATTTTCGATTTTTCAATTCAATTTCCAGATTTTTTAAATTTTCGAGTCCTCGATTTTTAAATTTTTCGGTTTCTCAATTTTCCTAAATTTCAGGTTTACGATTTTTTAACTTTTCAATTTTTAGTTTTTCAGATTTTCGTCTTCTTAATTTTTCGACTTTTCTGTTTCTCGATTTTTCAATTTTTCGAAGTTTCAGTTTCAGGACTCTTCGATTTTCCTTCGATTTTTCAAATTTTTGTTTCGAATTCCCCATTTTTCATTTCGAATTTTCGAGACTTTTTCGATTTTTTGATTTCTGGATTTTTTACTTTTTCGATTTTTTAAAGTTTGGATTTTTTGGTTTTTCAATTTTTCGTTTTTTCAATTTCTCAATTTTTTGATTTCTCTATTCTTATTTGTCGATATTTCGATGTTTCGATTTTTCAATTTTTCGATGTTGCGATTTATCGAATTTGGACTATTTCGATTTCTCCATTTTTCAGTTTTCCAATTTTTTGTTTTTTTGATTTTTCGATTTTTTCGCCTTTTCGTTTTCCCAATTTTTCAATATTGCGATTTTCCAATTTCACAATTTTTCAATTTTCAGGTTTTTGTCTTCCCAATTTTTCGATTTTTGGAAGTTTCAGAGTTAGGATTCTTCAATTCGCCTTCGATTTTTCAATTTACTGACTTACCAATTTTCCAATATTTTTCTGCTTTCGACTTTTCAATTTTTCAATTTTTTTTCGATTTCTGGATATTTCAATTGTTCGATGTTTCGATTTCTCGATCTTTTCATGTTTCGATTTCATGGTTTTTTGATTTTTCGAATTTTCGTGTTTTCAATTTATCGTTTATCCAGTTTTACAGATTTCTCAATTTTTCAATTTTCTCTCAATTTTCGACTTTTCGATTTTTCGACTTCTTGAATTTTCGGTTTTTCCATTTCTCAATTTTTCATTTTTTAGATTTTACAATTTTCAAAGTTTCAGTTTTGGTATTTTTCAATTTTCCTTCAATTTGTCAATTTTTTGATTTTCCGATTTTCCTAGTTATCAATTTTTCAATATTTCTCTGCTAAATTATTCAATATTTCGATTTTTTGATTTCTTGATTTTTTCTTTTTCAGTTATTCAATTTTTCGGTGTTTCGATTTTCCGGTTTTCCAATTTTTCGATTCTTCAAAATTTCGATTTTCCGAGACTTCTTCGGTTTTTTGATTTCTCGGTTTTTTAAAGCTTAGATTTTTTGGGTATATCAATTTTTAATTTCTCCATTAATCGAGCTACTATGTTTCGATTTTCAATTTTTCGATTTCTTGCTTTTATATTTTTTCGATTTTTCATTATTTCAATGTTTCAGTTTTTGGCGTTTCTAAATTTTCGATTTTTCGATTCCTCAATTCCTCAAATGATGGATTTTTCCACTTCTCGATTTCTCGATTTTTCAGGTTTTCAATTCAATTTTCCGATTTTTTAAATTTTCGATTTCTCGATTTTTAATTTTTCGGTTTCTCAATTTTCCAAAATTTTTCAGTTTTTCAGGTTTTCGTCTTCTCAGTTTTTCGATTATTCCACTTCTCGATTTTTCAATTTTTCAATATGTATTTGAGTTTTGGAATTCTTCAATATTTCGATTCAACCCATTAATTTTTAGGTTTTTCAATTTTTCAATTATTCAATTTTCCTGGATTTTCTCAAATTATCGATTTTTCCACTTCTCGATTTCTTAATTTTCCGATATTTCAGGTTCACGATTTTTTATCTTCTCAATTTTTTTATTTTTCAACTTTTCGGGCTTTCAGGTTTTCCTGTCCTTAATTTTTCGATTTTTTCAATTTTCGATTTTTCCATTTCTCGATTTTTCTAAAAAAGGGAATTTTTGAAACTACTCATCCGCGCTAATCCCGCGAACGTGCCCCGAGCACGACGCTAAAATACGCCTTGAATACGCTATTTTTATAGCCGATTTATAGCTTCGGGATGTTTTTGAAGTAAGGTTAGAAAATAAATACAATATGTGATATGACACCAATCTGGAGCGGGATTGTTTTTTCGGGACTAACCGTGAGAAATGACTCCTTCTTCCAGCAGGGCCTGCCACATTCCTGCGGCTTGAGCTCTCGTGTGGATACTGGAGGACAGGCTTAATAGCCAATCCACCAGTTCGGTCCCTGGAGCGCACCTCCTCACCAGCCTTCCGGACACTTTCCTGTCTTTGAGACAGGTATTTTGGGCTAAAATAGAACGAACGTGAATTTATTGGGGATTTTTGGGGAATTCGCTCACAGAGGAGTAGAGTCCTCAGCGCCCATCCTGTTCTCCCGATTATTGTACTTGGAGATTCCGTTATTGGTTCGGCTGGATTTGGTTGATCTGGAGACATTGATCGTCGAGGAGGCGGCGATAGAGGCTGCTGCATGCCGCCGCCTTTTGTCCCGCTCACCGTGCCGAAGCCTAAAACAGAACACGTTGTTGTTGTTATTGTTAATTAATTAACTAATTGTTCGAATGTATTGTGGTGGGTATGGTTTGCGTACAAAGGGGATATTTGTGAGTGACACAGAAAAGCCGAAGGAGTTGATGGATACACAAAAGTCTAGTTTTTGGAATTAGTCTGGAGACTGGATGTCCTCTAATACGTTTTCCGGAAAATATTGCTCCACATTTTCGTACCTGCGGCGTCATTAATAATTTTCTCATAAAATATTCAAGCGTGAGAGATTAAAAGCAATTTGTTGCTGACGTTGACAGTTGTTTTTTGTAATAAATGGTTCTGGGAATTCGGTGGACTTGACCAGAAAATTACACGGCTTTTGTGCCAAAAAACCCAACGAAGTTCTAGAACACGTTCTGGTTTATTACTGATAACAGCTAGTCTATCGTGCAAAAATCGTTAAATTGAAGCTTTGGTTTTCCCAGAAGTTCAAAAAAGAATAATCTCTCCGTGAAACATAAATCTTTGGAAATTAATCACTTCTTCGTTCTCATTATTTACCGTCGTTTTTATCTCCGACGTTCAGACTTTCTATAGACGCTGACTAAATTGGTTTTGCGACAAATGTAACTCATTCCCTTAATACTGTCCTGGCCGAGACTCAAAAACGTTAAATCCAATCAACGCAGTATTTTATTACCTTATGGTACATAAATATCGTGTCCGAAATTAGATGATTTCGAAGTGGTGATTGTTTCGATAACATGAAATATTTGGTTTATTAATAGAGATACCGAAATTTGGTGGAACAAGGTGACCTTAAATCAGTCTTGCAGGAATATTTTTAGTATAAATATTTTTGCTTGTAAAAACAGTACGAACGACTGTTCTTTTACGTTTGATCTAGGATCCGTAATGAAAAAACAAAATGCGTAAAATACTGTACTTTACAATATCTCAATAAAACCTTTTTCACTACCTCAGTTTTATTATATGGAGAGCTTTATGTATTTCAGACTTTGATCTTCTACGAAAATTTTCACTACTTTCTAAAAAACCTCTGCTAAGATTTTTTTACTTTGATTTCTTTAAGATTTACACATTGTTAGTGTTTTTGAAAGTTTAACTATAAAATATTCAAGAACTTAAAGCTGATTCCTGGCAACATCTTGATTTTTGTTTCAATTTTCCTAAAAAATGGTTAAAATTTTTGCAATTGACTGAAAATTGGTGTCAAATTGTGAACACTTTTCCGCTAGTTACAACTCTGAAATCGCCGTCACGATACCTGTTTCAATAAACAGGAAAAGTGATTTCAAAATTTTCAAAATTTTTCCAAAAAAATGGTTAAAATTGGTTCAACTGATTGAAAGTTGGTGCAAATTATAGATAATTTTCCGTAAATGGTTAAAACTGGTTCAAACACGATGGCTGAATCTCAAATTTAAAACAAAATTTCCAAAAAAATGGTTAAATTTAGTTCAATCAACTGAAAATTAGTGTCAAATTGTACATAATTTTCCGCTCATCACAGATCTGAAATCGCCGCAATTACAAATTTTCAAAAATTTTCCAAAAAAGTGGTTAAAATTGGTTCAATCGATCAAAAAATGGTGTCAAATTATACATAATCTTTCGCCAGTAACAAATCTGGAATCATCTATTCCAATAAATGCGAAAAGTGAATTCAAAATTTTCAAAAATTGTCCAAAAAAATGATTAAAATTAGTTCACTAAGCCGAAAATTGGTGTCAAATTGTAGATAATTTTCCGCTAGTTACAAGTCTGAAATCGCCGTCACGATATCTGTTATAATAAAAACGAAAAGTAAAGTAAATATTTTCAGAAAATTTCCAAAAAGATGGTTGAACTTGGTTTAATCGACTGAAAATTGGTATCAAATTGTAGATAATTTTCTTCTGATTACGAGTCTGAAATTGCCGTCACGATTCCTGTTCCAATAAACAAGAAAAATGGAATCAAAATATCCAAAAATTTTCCAAAAAAATGGTTAAAATTGGTTCAATAGACTGAAAATTGGTGTCAAATTGTAGATCATCTACCGCTATTTGCTATTCTAAAATCGCCGTCACGATATCTGTTCCAATAAACACGAAAAATAAATTCAAAATTTTCCAAAAAAAAAAAGTTAAAATCATTTCAACAAACTGAAAATTTGTGTCAAATTGTAAATAAATTTCCGCTAGTTACACGTCTGAAATCGCCATAACGATGTCTACTCCAATAAACACGAAAAATGTATTCAAATATTTCAAAAATTTTCCAAAAAAATGGTTAAAATTGGTGCAATCGTCCGAAAATTCGTGTCAGATTTTAGATAATCTTCCCCTAGTCACTAGTCTGAAATCGTCGTCATGGTATCTGTTCCAATAAACACGAAAAGTGAATTCAACATATTCAAAAATTTTCCAAGAAAATGGTTAAAATTGGTTCAACCGACTGAAAATTGGTGTCAAATTGTAGATAATTATCCGTTAATTACTAATCTGGACTCGTCGGCACGATATCTGTTCCAATGAACACAAAAATTGAATTTAAAGTTTTCGAAAATTTTCCAAAAAAATGGTAAAAATTGGTTCAATTGACTGAAAATCGATCTCAAACTGTGGATTATCTTCCTCTAGTCATAAATCTGAAATCGCCGTAGCGGTATCTATTCCAATGAACACGAAAACTGGATTCAAAATTATCGAAAAATTTCGGAAAAAATGGTTAAAATTGGTCAAAACTGATTGGTGTCAAATTATAGAAAATTTTTCGTTAGTTACAAATCTGAAATTGCTGTCACGATCTCTATTCCAGTAAACATGAAAAGTGAATTCAAAATTTCGAAAAATTGTCAAAAAAAAAGGTTAAAATTAGTTCAATCGACTGAAAATTGGTGTCAAATTGTAAATAATTTTTCGTTAGTTATAATTCTGAAATCTCCGTCACGATATCTGTTCCAATAAACACGTGAAATGAATTCAAAATTTCCAAAAATTTTCCAAAAAAGTGGTAAAATATGGTTTAATCAACAAAAACTTGGTGTAAAATTGTATATAATCTTCCGCTGGTTACGATTCTGAAATCGCCGTCACGATATCTGGTTCAATAAACACGAAAACTGAATTGAAAATTTCCAAAACTTTTCCAAAAAAGTGGTTAAAATTTGTTCAATCTACCGAAAATTGGTGTCAAATTGTTGATAATTTTCCGATGGTTACGATTCTGAAATCGCCGCCACGATATCTGGTCCAATAAACCCGAAAAGTGAATTCAAAATTTCCAAAAATTTTCATAAAAAGTGGTTAAAATTGGTTCAATCGACCGAAAATTGGTGTCAAATTGTAGATAATCTTCCGCTGGTTACGATTCTGAAATCGCCGTCACGATATCTGTTCAAATAAATACGAAAAGTGAATTCAAAATTTACAAAAATTTTCCAAAAAAGTAGTTAAAATTGGTTCAATCGACCGAAAATTGGTGTCTAATTGTGGATAATGTTCTGCTGGTTACGATTCTGTAATCGCCGTCACGATATCTGGTCCAATAAACCCGAAATGTGAATTCAAAATTTCCAAAAATTAAAAAAAAAAGTGGTTAAAATTGGTTCAATCGACTGAAAATTGGTGTCAAATTGTAGATAATCTTCCGCTGGTTACGATTCTGAAATCGTTGTGACTATATCTGGTCCAATAAAGACGAGAAGTGAATTCAAACTTTCCAAAAATTTTCCCAAAAAGTGGCTAAAAAAGTTTAATCGACCGAAAGTTCGTGTCAAATTGTAGATAAACTTCCGTTAGTTACGATTCTGAATTCGTCGTCACGATATCTGGTCCTATAAAGACGAAAAGTGAACTCAAAATTTCCAAAATTTCCCAAAAAAGTGGTTAAAATTGGTTCAATCGCCCGAAAATTGGTGTCAAATTGTAGATAACTTTCCGCTGGTTACGATTCTGAAATCGCCGTTACGATATCTGGTCCAACAAACACGAAAAGTGAATCCAAAATCTCCAAAAATTTTCCAAAAAAGTGGTTAAAATTGGTTCAATCGACCGAAAATTGGTGTCAAATTCTAGATAATCTTCCGCTGGTTACGATTCTGAAATCGCCGTCACGATATCTGGTCCAATAAACCCGAAAAGTGGATTCAAAATTTCCAAAAAGTTTCCAAAAAAGTGGTTAAAATTGGTTCAATCGACCGAAAATTGGTGTCAAATTGTAGATAATCTTCCGCTGGTTACGACTCTAAAATCGTCACATCGATATCTATTCAAATAAATACGAAAAGTGAATTCAAAATTTACAAAAATTTTCCAAAAAAGTGGTTAAAATTGGTTCAATCGACCGAAAATTTGTGTCAAATTGTGGATAATGTTCTGCTGGTTACGATTCTGTAATCGCCGTCACGATATCTGGTCCAATAAACCCGAAATGTGAATTCAAAATTTCCAAAAATTAAAAAAAAAGTGGTTAAAATTGGTTCAATCGACCGAAAATTGGTGTCAAATTGGAGATAATCTTCCGCTGGTTACGATTCTGAAATCGTTGTGACTATATCTGGTCTAATAAAGACGAAAAGTGAATTCAAACTTTCCAAAAATTTTCCCAAAAAGTGGTTAAAATTGGTTCAATCGACCAAAAATTGGTGTTAAATTGTAGATAATCTTCCGCTAGTTACGATTCTGAAATCGCCGTCACGATATCCTATCTAATAAACCCGAAAAGTGAATTTAAAATTTTCAAAAATTTTCCAAAAAAGTGGTTAAAATTGGATCAATCGACCGAAAATTGGTGTCAAATTGTAGATAATCTTCCGCTGGTTACGACTCTGAAATCGCTGTCACGATATCTGCTCCAATAAACACGAAAACTGAATTCAAAATTTTCAAAAATTTTCCAAAAACATGGTTAAAATTGGTTCAATCGACCGAAAATTGGTGTCAAATTGTAGACAATCTTCCGCTAGTTACGATTCTGAAATCGCAGCCACGAGATCTCGTCCAATAAACTCGAA